AAGTGCCATGCACAGTTCGAAGTGCAAGTGGCCAACGTAGTTTTTGAAGAAGAAAGAACGGGACATTCGAGGTGAATCCATGCAGCGTTCAGGAACATTCTGTATCAGACAAAAATGGAACTTTACTGGGAGTTTGTTTCAAATCAATCAGAACAATATCAAGCCTTCGGGGCTCAATGAAGCGATCCCACCAGATGGTGAAATCCCACAGAATCTTGATCTTCTGGTCCTGCGGAGATGTTGGCGTCTGAAGTATCTCTAGCTTCAGGCACGTTACCTGCGGGTGCATGATGCTCTTGGACCGGCCACAGTGGTGGTTGTAGCACTCGTCTTCACAATGCAAGTCGCAACTCCTGTACACGCAGAGGCCAGCCGATAATGGTGCTCCAAGTAATCCCATCCAGCGAGCTTTGAACACTCGCATAGGATATGGGTAACCGACTCGCCTTCCTTTCCACACATTCGAGACAGGGGTCTTCTGCTCTGATGGAAGATTTGGGCCTTGATCAGGTTAGTTGCCAAGGCCTGGTGTTGTGTCGCGATGATCAGGCTCTCTGTGATCTTCTTGAGACTTGCGACTGATGTACATACCGGCTACATCAGCACGTGGATCGAGAGCTCTATGCATAGTCATAAGCTTGCGCGTTCTTCGGTCAGCAGATTTCAACTCGTCCTATGTCCATGCCAATATACCAGCACTATACCATATCAAAGCCACAGCCCAGGTGTTGATTGCTCTGATGGTGTTGTGGCCGTTAAGAGCTGAACGGAGTAGTCGTATGAGGCAGGTGACGAACAGCAGTGGGAATATGGAGTCCCCTCGAAATACCCATGCTGAATGGCCGCCAATTTCAGGTTGTTGGTGCCGTTCCAACGGTCAACCTTCCACTGAGCCATGCTTACAGTTATAAGTCTGCGTACGGATTCTTGTATGCTAAACAGGTCTTTTATTTTTACGATTAGACCATATATGACATCAGCCACTGGAGCCTACATAATATTATGACATCAGACACTGGATTCTACATATATTATGACATCAGGCACTGGACTCTACATATATTATTACATCAGACACTGGAGCCTACATATATTATGACATCAGACTCTGGACTTCACATATTGTTGTGAAACGACAAGTTCTCGAGAGTGAAAGGCCTTCTCGCTTGTGACATTGTGTTCGTTTCAATGCAGCTGTTCCCGACTCCGCCGTACCGCTGATGTTTACGACGTGGCATACGCTACAGGCGCTATGTGCGGTTTGCTGTGTGCGCTGTAGTTGTATGTTGTATGTGTATGCTTTTCTCATATACGCAGTCATTTTCATGCTATAACTACCTGGTGGTTTTAGTGTTAGTTATTCAGTTGTTCATTCATTCATTCAATCATTCATTGTTGTTAGTCGATGGAAGTGAAATATTATTATTATTATTATTTTGCTTGTTCGCGTGGGCATCAACCTGCATAAAGCAGGTATATAGCCTTCGCTTAAGCTGCCATAAAAAAGAAAGCTCATCCTAAGCGAGAGGGCTAGAGGAAAAGATAACGATAACGAGATACAGAATACAAAGAAATACAATGAGTTAAACATACGTATACAGTTCAAAACAAAACAGAGCAGAGCCGAAGTTACTAATCGGAGTGACGAATGCGTTGGTTCCGATTGATCCATCAATCGACAAAGGGACTAATCCGTTAATATTGCAAAGTAGAAACCGATTGCAGTTGCAGATCTCCAGGCCAGGGCCAGCATATTGCCGATTCTGGATAGGTCTCTGCAGCATTTGATGTGGTAATTATTATCATAATTAGTGATAAAATTGTTAGAGTATCTAGTATCTAGAGTATTTAGTATCTAGAGTATCTAGTGTAATTGTATCCGATATTATTGTTAGAGTATCTAGTGTAATTGTATAACTTCAGCCACTACACACAGCACACATTAGTTCCTTCCACTTTCGACGATCCTGGGCAAGCTGCCTCAGTGCAACTAGATCCTCGTGTGATGTGAGGGAGTTTGTGGATCTGGAATTTTTCAGGTCGTTGTTGATAGATCGCGGGAGGGTTGTTCTCGGGCGGCCTCGGAACCCTGAGCTTCCTGGTTGAAAGTATGCTGACATAGCCTGCTGGACCGGGGATGAGGTGTCTAGTCGAAGCATGTGGCCAAGCATTCTCCACCTAGCAGACTGGATGATTCTGCTGAGTGAAATATACTGTTGAGAATAAATAGTTTGTCCTTGTGCCGTGTGGGGTCGTTCGTTCCTGACACTTTAGAGAACCAGAGGGTTCACAACATTTGGCGACCACGCCAGGATACGAAGCAAGCATGGCACAGGAACTATGGATCATTGAAGCCAGCTTTATCGCTAACGGAATTCGGTATGGATTTGAAGGCGATAGGTTGCGAGAATACGTGGAGAAGAGGCTCCGACAGAGCGAGGAGTTTGAAGAGCGCAGTGCTAGACGGCAAGAGGGTGCGCTCCGCACAGAGTTTAACGAAAAGCTCAAGAAGATTAACGAGCCCATCGCCAGCAGTAAATATGAGGGAGCAAAGCGAGATTTTCCGGAAGGACGCCGGACAAGGCGTGGAAGACTTTGCTTAAAGACAAGCAGCGGTCAGAAGAGTATTTGAAGCCAGTGAGAGGATCGGATCCAAGGCCCACTGCGTCGGTACAGTGCATGGCGACATCGGTCGGAGACGCTCAGAAGCAGCTGGAGTCTCGGCCGAACGACGTAGACGCGCAAGACGTAGAAGCGCAAGACGTAGAAGCGCAAGACGTAGAGGCGCAAGACGTAGAGGCGCAAGACGTAGAGACGCAAGACGTAGAGGCGCAAGACGTAGAGGCGCAAGAGTTAGAGGCGCAAGAGTTAGAGGCGCAAGAGTTAGAGGCGCAAGAGTTAGAGGCGCGAGACTTAGAAGCGCAAGGCGTAGAAGCCGAGAAAATGAGAAGGGCGATACTGGTTAGCACGGAAGAAGTAAGCGGCGAGACTGTGTGGAACACGGAGATCGAATGTAGGTTATCTGGTCCAGCGTCCGCCCCACGACGCAGTGGCCCAGTGACTGTGTTGTGTGTGACAGCCCAGATCGGCACGCTTGGTGTTGAGACTGTTGAGGTGAAGCCGTTCGGTGCGGAATCAAGCCAACAGCGGATGGACAAGTTCGCCATCATGATCCTGGGTAGCTCCGCAGTCATTCCCGTATGTGCTCTGGTGAAGCCAACATTAGAGCTTCATCTGAAGTGCGCAAACCCGCAGACCATTGCTCAGTTGGCAGAAATGGTGAGCACTCGTAATATTCCACCTTGGCCACCGCCACAGCAGCGGATGACTCGTTCTGGGCGTGAAGTCAGAGCCCCGATCGTTTTGACTTAGGAGTTGTTGTACGGCGGTGAGAAGCCCTTTGGTGGGGAGAATGTTGTGAAACGACAAGTTCTCGAGAGTGAAAGGCCTTCATGCTTGTGACATTGTGTTCGTTTCAATGCAGCTGTATCCCGACTCCGCCGTATCGCTGATGTTTACGACGTGGCATACGCTACAGGCGCTATGTGCGGTTTGCTGTGCGCTGTAGTTGTATGTTGTATGTGTATGCTTTTCTCATATACGCTGTCATTTTTATGCTATAACTACCTGGTGGTTTTAGTGTTAGTTATTCAGTTGTTCATTCATTCATTCAGTCATTCATTGTTGTTAGTCGATGGAAGTGAAATATACTGTTGAGAATAAATAGTTTGTCCTTGTGCCGTGTGGGGTCATTCGTTCCTGACACTTTAGAGAACCAGAGGGTTCACAACACATATATTATGACATCAGACACTAGACTCTACATATATTATGACATCAGACACTGGACTCTACATATATTATGACATCAGACACTGGACCCTACATATATTATGACATCAGACACTGGACTCTACATATATTATGACATCAGACACAGGACCCTACATATATTATGACATCAGACACTGGACCCTACATATATTATGACATCAGACACTGGATCCTACATATATTATGACATCAGACACTGGACTCTACGACACAAGAACCAAATACAACAACGTGCGTAAATGATAGTCGAACGGAATTTCGCAACATTAGGGCCATCCCCGGATATCATGGTTCCACGCCGGCCATATTGAATGTCACACAGAGTGGATTTAGCTACTGCATGAATCTCGTCTATGGTTCTTTTCCATGCTACTTGCATTAAACAAAGGATGGCACGACCAAAAGGTTGACACTTGCCAAATAATGTCAACATTCCTTTTCAACAGCGAAAGTATGTTTAGCACACCTTTCAAGGACATTAATGATCAGTTACGAAGGAAATTGTCTGTTAATTATGCCATTTTGAATTACATTGTCAATCCGCTCTACATGATCTGTGGGATTCTTCTTCTCAAAGTTTAATGATGATGCCAGTCCTTCTTCTTTCCCACCGTGGATCTTTCATATATCGACTTTGCTGTTAGGACAATAAAGTGAGTAATAACTTTATGTTCTCCGTTAAGTCCAAATTTGAAATTGAGTAATAACTTCATGTATTGACAGTACTATTGTATTGTAAGCGCACATAAGTGTTCTTGTTCTGTATTGTCCAAGGGCATGTGTTGTCTGTTGCAACTCTTGATTGTGTCTCACTTCTTATTACAACAACAAATGAAGAGGGGGTAGAAGGAGTTTTACAAACCACCAGTTCTCAAGTGGGAAAGGCCTTCGCATCTATGGCACTGTATTCTTTGCAATGTTGTATCTCGACTCGCCGTACCGCTGAGGTTTGCTGCATGGCATACGCTATATGCGCTGTGTGCGGTTTTTACTGTAAACACTGTTATGTCATGTTTTATATACGTATGCTTTTCTGATATACGCTGTCATTTGCATGCTATAAATAGCTGGTGATCTTAGTGTTAGTTTATTATATTCGATCAAGTGAAATATACTGTTAAAGAGAAAATAGTTGTCCTCGTGCCGTGTGCTCGTTCGTTCCTGACTTTTAGAGAATCAGAAGGGTTCACAACATTTGGCGACCAAGCCAGGATTGAAGCGTGCATGCCAGAGGCACTAGGTAATTTGGAGGCCATCTTCATCGCCAATGGAATTCCGATAGGATTGGAAGTCGAGAAGTTGGAGGAACATGTAGAGCAGTGGCTCCGACAGTGCGAGGAGCGTGAGGAGCGCAGTGCCAGACGGCAAGAGGAGACACTCAGCACCGAGTTTGACAAAATCTCAAAGAGATTAACGAGCGCTTCGCCAAGGCGTATGAGGGTGACGGTGAAGCCGCCAGTGAGAGTGCCATTGGAGGTACAGCGGAAGCTCCCAGTCACAGCGGTGGGCGTAAACCGTTGATGAAAAAACCCTCATATGTTGGAACGCAGCCACTGGAGCGTTATTTCGGCCTGTTTGAGGACATCTGTTCCAAGAACGAGTTCGAAGAAAGCGAATGGCTGCTGCGGTTGCGTATCGTGCTAGCGGGTAGCACAGTGGAGAGGATCTGTATTTGCTGCAATAACTACGAGGAAGCAAAGCGAGAGTTGCTTCCCTCGCTCGGAAAGACGTTCCTGACCGGCAAGCAGCGGTCAGAGGAGTCTTTTCAGTAATACGCGTGTTTGCCGAGAGGTAGAGGTGTGGACCACACTCGCTATGACGGAAGATAGCGAGGTGGACACCAAGTATAACGCCGATACATTATTATTAGTATAATTATTATTATAGGTAAAATGGCCCCTTTGCTGCAAGCAATGGCAAAGTAGGTGATCTAGGATCAATGCGGACCTGGTCGAACGGCAGTGCTACGGGATGTCTCTGCGTCAGGTTCAGGAGCACGGCTGGTCTTACCAGATCGTGCACGGACGACAGGGTGATACTGCCAGGAAGCCAGTGGAACGATCAGTGGCAAGGCTCAGTGCATGGCGATATCGGTCGCAGACACAGAGAAGCAGCTCAAGTCGCTGCCAAAGGAAGGGAGAAAGTTTTTTCAGCAGCGAGAGACACTCTGCTGGCCCCGTTTCAAATATGGCCATATGGCAAGGGAATGTCGGTCAGGCTCAGAGTGCCAAAGGAAGCACCATCTGCTAATACATGATGTGTTGGATGGAGCAGGTTACAGCCAGGAGAAACCGACTGAGATAGTAACGGAGAAGAAGGTTGGATCGTGCTGTCTACACTCAACAAGTGTGCGGCTGATGACCGGAGTGGCACGAGGCGAGGGAAGAACTTGAACGGCGAAGGTTCGCGAGTTCCCGGACTCGGGTGCTGAGGCGTCATTTGTGACTTCAGCGGAGCCCTATGACTTCTCTGAGCGCTGAAACCCTTCCTGCCATGATTT